GCATTTTATGAATTCTTTTAAATATTCCTCAAGAATTACTGTGTATACTAGGATCTGGCTTATAATGGATCTTTTCTACAGCTGGCGTAGCCTTTGAACTGACCCCCAGGAATTGGGCTTTCAAATTAGAACAGCCCAAATATATAGTGTTTTGGTATATTTAAAAATAATGAGATTAAAAAGCAAAATGCATGATGAGAATGCCAAGATTAATCTTTAATGTCAAGTTAGCTTTCTTTTGCAGAAGTTTTCTTCTGTATCATCCAATGGGTTAGAATATAGTTGCCAGATATTCAATGACCCTGAAAATAAATTCACAACACCAAAGCCGCCCCAAAACTCAGATAGTTAGCTAAATAATTCAGTAGTTAGAAACACGGTATGGGCCATACAAATTTAAATTATTTCCTGTCATCTTCACTGGTTAATTCCAATGTAATTAAAGCCCCTTTAAAATTGAATTCCTAACATAATCAGCAGCATATTGCCAGGACTGTGAGGTTGCTTCAAGGTACAATTAGAGTGAGGATAAGTCAAGTGTGCATCAGGAATTATCAGTAGATGTGAGTGAGCCCCTGAAAATGAGCAATTACTATCATCTCTTTTGCAATAGGGCTACATAAAAGGAAAGTGGAGGGGTGTTTTAATGGCCTCGGTTGCCATTTGTGTCTATATCTAAATTTACATGTTCTAGCCTGATGTGTATTCATGTCTGCAAATTACACTCGAAAGAAAACTAACGATGTCAACTTCTGCTGACATTAAACAGTGGGAGATTTTGCAAAGGATTCCAGACTTTTCTCTGCCCTCAGATTTTCCTTTGTAAAATTTATGTACAAGGCATTTCTTTTCATTTATTGTGTCTCATGATCCTCCTTGCTCGTGAGAGAAAAAGGAAGTCAATGGGGTAGATATATTCTTTTTTTCTCTCAGACCAAAAGACAGGCTTGGATTTTTTTTTTCTTTCCTCATATACATTCTTTAAATATATATATTTTTAAACCGAAGTCTCAGCTGGTGATATTTTTGTGCTTATAAAGACCACTCTTTTCTTTTCTCAGTTTCATCCTGTTTTTTCATGTTTTGTGGTATCACTGTGGTATCAATCCCAGCTCATAATTATTATCTCTCATTTAGCCCCAAGGTGTAAATTCGCTAACTGAAAAGGCGTGCTCTGAGAGTTAATCTCAATGTATGTCCAAAGGCTGAGCTTGCTGCACTGTATAATTTCCCTGGGGATTGTTCCGTATAATGTGGGGCCATTTGTTGCACTGTCTGATGTGGAAGAAGAGAAAATGAAAGGACCTGCCAGAGAGAAATGAGATCACACCATGCCTTTTAGAGCAAAAAGGGAAATCAAAGGACAATTTCAGGTCCTCTCCAGTTCCCCAAGCATGTGCCTGGGAACTAGGGAATGAGGGATTTTTCTTATTACTGTTTCTGGAGGAGTCACTGAGAGACAGCACCAAATCAGAGAGTTATGGCACATTTAGTAATGCCTTGGGCTGTGCCCAGAAATTACCACCAGCGCAGAACATTTCTGTATGTGCCTGGGCGTTACAAATTTTTCGAGGGTCTACAGAAATGTTAGGACCCGGAAGAAAAAATATATGTCGACTCAAAACTCCAAAAAGTTATCTGCTAGATTATTAAAATTTTAATTGAATGTCTACAAAATATTTAATATCAACTTCATTAAGTATAAGGTTAGTGTTCTTAAAAATTCCCCATGAAAACAAATTATAAATGCGATTTCCTCACTTTCCAAGGTTTCGAGCATGCCAATGACTTACGTGTAGCCAATGATTTACGTGTAGCCAATGATTTGAAATGCAAAATTATAACCATCCTTTCCTTTTTTTACACAGAAATGTGTATTTTAGGTGGGGGCATCTTAGTGTTTTTTATATGACGTGTATGGTAGGACTAAAAAAGAGCCTAGGTCCACTGAGCATTTTAAAACAGCTCTGCACCTGTCTGCTCTTTTCCAAGTGTGTGATTATTCTTGAAGATGTAGGTCAGCAAAGACTATAATGGGGAGAACCAGAAGGCAAGACAGAGGAAAAACTTCCGTTTTTTTCTTGCTGTATGCATCCGTATTTGAGGGACTTGGGAATCGGGGATTTTATTATTATTATTATTATTATTAACTAGAAATATATGCTCTTGGCCACCTGTCTTGGCATAATCCTTCCAGGAACAGAAAGAACCAAATATATTCCTATACTGATGCTTGTTATGAAATGTAAAACCTGTATGTGATTCATTGTTTATTTATTTATTTATTTGTCTTTTGTTTTTTGCCTTTTTCTTTTATGCAGTCATCTACAGCCAGGGACAAGGATGAACAGGCTCTACCGGTAGGAAGCAGTAGCCCTGTCTGTACCTGTACCTGTGCCTGTGGAGAATGGGGGGCAGGGGTGGGAGAATGAGGGGCTCATGTGCTCAATAAATCATCCTCTCCCTTGGAATACTTAAATAGTTTAATCTGCTGATGTCCACATATGCTCTGGCCTATAATTAGTGTCACTGAATTCTGACAAATTATCTCTGGAATTAGGTTTCGAAAGTTTGAGTTCTCTCTTTCATTTGGCATGAACTTTTATAGGCGTTGAAAGAGTGAGATATTCCCAAATTGCATTCCAAGGGATGCTGAGCTGATATTTGGGGATAGTGGGGGATCTAATGCTTGATATCTGTTTCCTTAGTGTATCTGCATGCACCTAATTTTTGGTTGGAAATTTCTTTTGGGTCCATCAAAAGAAATGCTGCACGAGACCTATGTATTCAGTGTATATATGATACCCAAAAGAATGCTTTAAGTTCTTCTATAGATATAATCCTTTGCAAATGAAGATTTCCACAGCAGAATTTTTCCTGTTTCTCAAAATAACCATAGTAATAGTGGTTATGACCAATTATTAACAAGAAGCACATTTTTCAGTTCCTATCCAATTAACACATCACATTTTGTATTGTGCAGCATGACAAGGAAATGACCTTCAGAGTTTTTGTGTTCAGCCATCAGTGATTACATTTCAACTCTATTCAAGTCTCTTAACCTTACCCTGAAAATATTTTGAACTTTAACCATCCAAATCAAATAACACAATGCATTAAAAAACATTACAGATTTTTAAGGCAGAAGGGACTAGGAATGAAGATACATATGATGTCATCCTTTGTCCTCTAGTGCTCAAAGCAAAAATTTATGACATTCATTGAGAGTCCATAGGATATGCCAGATCCTGTACTAGTCTTTTCCTTTGAGGAGCTCATGGTCTTCCTCAGCATTGAGACACCAGTAATCCCCTATGATTCTTCTCCAAATCCTGTAGAACTAGGAACATAATTTCTCATAGAATACCAATTATCATAAATTCACACTAAAAGTTCAGATTTTTTTCAAGTACCTCATACTGATATTTTACCCATACTTCAAGCTTACTATAGGTTTCATGTTTGTCTCCAAACATACAGACTATGATTGTTAATAAGTATCCTTTAAAGTAAGGGACCCATGGGCAATAGTTCAGAAATACTGCCTAACTTAACCAAGTTAACCTGATTTCTTTAAAACTTAGTGGTCTAATGTGTATCTTAAAAGTCAAAAGGGGTTTTGGTCTAAGAGGTAGAACCTGCCAAATGTATTTGATCATGGAGCTTCTTACGGGACTTTTCTTGGGAAGCCCCTGTGGGTCTGGAGTATGATGGACTATTTTGGAAAAACCTGCATCGTAGGGGGTTGGAAAATAGTGGGAAATAGTATCTTATTTTTTCACTGACCTCGGAAAAATCTCATGTCAAGATTTTGGACCAAAAGTTCAATAAGAAATTAATTTCCTCACATTACATTACTCTCTCTTAAATTTGCCCATCTACAAGTCTCTGCCTCTGGAGTGTCTTCCCCTGCAACAACCCACACAAAATCAACCAAAGGCGAAGAAAACAGTTCTCGTTCAGGATAAAAATCTGTCACAATCCAGAGGATTGGGCTTTTTATTTTTTTAAGATTGTTTGCTTTTGAAGATAAAAGAAAAAGAGTTTGTTGGTAACCTCGCCTCTAGAGGTTCATTCTTCCTCTTTTACCTGTCAGTTTTATTTATTTGGACAAAGGATCAAAGTAGGAGTTTATGCAAAAGAAGTTCCCCTCTGAAGTTGCACAGTTTCTCTGTAGAATTTTGAACTTTAAAGAGAGTGGGTCTCTCTCTTTAAATCTCACTAACACAAACTGTAGGACTACATGGATTAGACCTGTGGTCAGGGTAGAGATGAGAAACCCCAGGAGATCTGCAAGGCATTCCTTTGAGGGCAAGGAGAAAATATTAACACCTCTATCATTTACTTTCTATGTTATTCTTCATAATTTCTACTTTTGCAAATGTTTTATACTATATGTGTTCATATTTTTTCATATTTTAGTATGTGGATATAGCTATAGTAGGTGAGAGAGAAAGAGAGAGAGAGAGAGAGAGAGGAATACATATATACACACATACATAAACATTTTACTGATAGGATGAACAATCCAAACATTTTAAAGACCACCATTGGTTTAAACAACAAATTTTGACAGAACCAAACCTGAGATTCGTTCCTCTCTCCTCCATTTTTTGTCTGTATGACTTGGACATCTCATTTTACTTCTCTGAGACAAAGTTTCCTCATGTGTCTAAAGGAAATAATAACAGCATCTAGTTCATTGAGTTCATTTGAAGAATAAGATAAACTAATGGAGGTGAAGCATATAGCACATTGACTAGATTTACTAAGCTCTTAAAAAATGATAATGATTAATTCATTTAGTAGGAAAGGATGTGAGGAAGCCATTCCTTTGGGGAATTTGAAATGTACTTGGAAAATCTTTGGTTCACATGGTTTAATATTGTGTGATCACGTGATAGAAATGAGTGGCCATCAAACAAAGTGGAGGATCTTATCTATAATGTACTTGCCTTTAGTTTCTGAGAACTAACAGCACCTTTGCTTTCTCTGCTCAGGCTAAGCCACGTCTCCAACGAGGTGGAAGCTCTGCATCCCTCCACAACAGTCTCATGAGGAACAGCATCTTCCAGCTCATGATACACACCCTTGACCCACTTGCTGAAGGTAAACATCAGGCTTTAGTGTGGGAGCTTGTTTGGGGGGAAAGAGGATGTAGAAAAATTTCTTTCTCTTCATAAAACATGTTTACACTTCAGTCATACAAGCCTGCCAGTGTCCTCTTTTTTAGCATCTGCTGGAGGAAGCCCTGGCCCTCTGGTGTGCTTTATCTGCAGCAGCTCAGTTCACAATCGGAGATTTTTGTACCAGGAGAAGAATGTGAGGTCCATATGTCTTTTGATTCTGTCCTTTGATGCCTCCAGCATAAATACAGTTTGTTATGAGACAGAGAAGACAAAAAAGGTTTCTCTCCCTTCCAGCTACAGTGACAGTTCCCTTTCATCATCCTTCCTAAGTTCCAAAATGAAGTTATATGTGAAGATAAATTGTACATCTTAAAAAAAAAAAAAAAAGAGAGAGAGAGAAGAGAACTTCACAACATGGGAGGGCTGAGAGTAGTTTTGAGAACGATGTTCACTGCAGAACATTAATATTGTACTGATTCTTTGCCAATTGGAGGGTGAGAGACGAGATTCTAAGCATCCAAAGAGCTCTCTCTAAGGCAACTGCTTAGGATCAGTCGTTGGAGACCCAAAAGGCTTGGTTTGCCA